ACTGTGTGGGTGATTAGGGACAAGTTCCCAGAAGCTGTGAAGACTGCCTGGGTTTTTTGATGCTATAGAAGATGATGAAATAAACTTTGTTTTGGAAGTAATTATTTATAAATTGAAGATACCTGATAAGTCCATCCTCATTAATGCAACAGATCTTATGTAATAGATTCATTCTTGAAAATTCATGTGACAACTGTGCTCTGTTTTTTTGACAATTTCATCACTCATGTTCCCCACTCTCGTCTCATATTTTACATTGGGGCTAACACCAGGCGCGTAACAGGGGTCTTGGGTCACAGTGGGTATTTATTTTTTTTATTTTTTACATTTTTTATTTCAACCATCTTTAAAGAGGGTAACCCTTCTAGTTAGCCCAGTAGGTTAACTGATATTCAGGGGCCCTCTTTAATAAAATTAAAGAACAGTACAAACAACATCATTACAACATAATAATAATAATAAGATACCTGATAAGATCTTATGTAATAGATTCATTCTTGAAAATTCATGTGACAACTTTGCTCTGTCTTTTTGACAATTTCATCGCTCATACAGTACAATGTTTTTTGTATCTTCCCCACTCTCGTCTCATATTTTAAAATTTTAAGCTAATACAGTATATAAATGTAACTTGTTCTTCCCTATTCTTTACATTGGTATAAACTATAGTAACTATAAATCCATATATTTAATATTTTGATAATAATAGAGTGTGTAAAATGCAGTGATATATATTGTAATACCTAACTGCTTCAATGTTGCTTTATTCTGTGTATAGTAAAACAATTTTATATTAACTGTGAGAAAATACACTTGTAATAAATTATTTGCCATGTACAAGGATGATAAATTGTGTTTCAAAATATTTATTTAGTAACACCAGTAGTCTTGAATTTACTGTATGTACAACAATAACTAAGTGAAGCACCAAAAATATGGATGTTGAATATCATCATGAAAGAAGAATTCTTGGCTATGGTAAATAATACAAGACAATCAGACATTATAAATAGAGCAGTGCAATTAAAAATTGCCTAAGACGACTAATAATATACTCTTAATAATTTCTAAGTCAATCTAATTTTACATGCCGAATTGTTGTGTTTTCCATTACCATAAGTGCAAGTCAAATTTTGTTAGGGTCAAACAATTTCTCAATATGACATAGGTAAGTTCAACTATATATTTTAAAATACTAAACAAAAAATGGTGTATAGCAAAAAAATTGAAACTTTGTCTTAAATACCAAATTGATCAGCATGCAGACATAGGCATAATCCAGGCATTAAAAAATAAGCAGTTTCATAGAATAACATTAGACAAGACTGTACAAAGCCATACATTAAAATAGTTGTTCCTGTATATATTGAGCCACATTTTCATACTGTACTATCAACTTCGCACATTACATATTTCAAAATTAATCCTCACAATTTGTTTTCTAAATCTCGGTCACAAATTTGCTTCAAAAGGATTACTATTGAATGGGATTATAATACCATTTAATAATATTAAAGATATTTTGCAAGTGAAACAGGTACAGTAATACTGGTACAGTATTTATTTATTTATTATAAATTTGGCATGCAATATAAACCAGATGCTGCAATATAAACCAGATGTGCAAAAAACAAAAACTTAAGTGTGTGGCATTTCAGTATATCTTCAGAAAAAAAATCACTAGATAAATCATTTTAATTTAATTCTTTTGAAATATTTTGGCCTCAATCACTTGCTGCAGAGCTCTGAGCATCACCACCTTCTTCTAACCATGGATTGGACATGTCCATTTCATCATGTCCACACAGATGGAACTGTTTGCATCACATCCATTGGAGCCAGTCATTTGCTCCTATTGAGAAATAAGTATACAGTAGTTACAATAATGCAAAACCAGGTTAGTTAAAAAATCAAAAATGTTATCAAACATTGGCATTTGCTGCTTTATCAATAACATACCATACTGAGATACTGTATATTTTATTTGAATTCCACATTTCAACAACAGCTGAAAGTTAGGTTTGGAGTAACATGCATCATGTTATTGAGGCGTTATTGTTGTGTAGCCTAGCTTCTAGGCCTATAGTATATCAATAATAATCTTATTGTTACAGGAATTGGTGTTGGCTCTGATGATATACTGTAGTGTTATAGCTCATCACCTTTATTTAGACAGTGCAGTTTTTAGACATTTAGGCCTAGGCCTAGACAGTTTTTCATAGGACCAGACCTATAACTAGGCCTATAGTATTATTAGTAGGCCTAGGGGCCTAGGCTATTATGAAAAAATATGCACTAGCACAATTAATGTGACAAAGTCGCCATGGCATGACAAGTCTAGGCTAGTAGTAGTAGTAGAAACCTACTAACAGCTGGATAAGGCTGCGTGCGAACTCACCTGCTGCAGGACTGGAGCAGTGTCCTGGTCAGGAGTGCGCTACTTAGCTGCTGGGTAGACACTGACTGTGCTTCCTAGACATAGGCTAGGCCTAATTATAAACAAACAAGTCATCGGACTGATATGCGTTTATTAATTCAATTGAATTATTCCTCCATGATTGAATTGACGTTGACAAAACCGTCTCTCTGTAACTGCGTACGTAAATGATCACAAAAACTCACGACTTCACACTACTGGACATACGTATTGTCTCGGCTAGGTTGCTCGATTGTCGGGACGATTTTTCGATCAGCTGCTCGCACAAAATTACTGGTCTTGAATATTAATGAGTTGGTTAGAAAATGCTACCAAGCTACTGAAAAAAGTGATCAGCCTCGTTTTCACCTGATTTTGCTGTCTCATCATATCATGTTTTGTTTCTGTAATTATCGTTACATTTCAACATTTTTTTAAAGTATTTTTCCCGAACTCAGGAAAGGTTAAATAAGCAATATATGGCCACTTGTCTCATCCCGCACCCCCCCCCCCTTTAAAGTCAGGCCCCGGAGAAAAAAAAATTGTTGATATGTTGTAGAACTGAAAGTAGTTTGATTAAAAATCAGTTCTACAACATATTTGTTTTGCTCCTCAGTCTGACTTTAATTGTTGAAACATCCTGCGACAATCCTCATCATTATGAGTCTAAAATAAAATACATGGATCGTTACTGGTAAATACAAATAGGCCTACGTACTGTAACTCACCGTAACGCCGCTAAATTATTTAAGTGGCGCTGAGGGCTGGCGGGCCGTTTCCGACCCTTTAATAGCCCCCCTTGTCTTGTGGTATCCTCTTAAACTGTGTGGTACTTTCAGCTTCCATGACATGGGCAGGAAGAGCATTCCATTCGTTTACCACCCTTTGGGAAAAATAGTGCTTACAATTTAGTCGAGCATAAGCCTTTTTTAACTTCTAACCATGATGTCTAGTAATGGAATCGATTGCCAAATCGAAAAACAGATCCCTATCAACATCCCCTTTTCCATTTAATATTTTATATGTTTCAATTAAGTCCCACCCTGATTCTTCTTATTTCTATAGTAGTTAAATTAAAGGCTATGAGATGTTCTTCATAATTTACATTTTTCATACATTTAGGAATTTTAGTTGCCCGTCTTTGGACCTTTTCTAATAAATATTATTATTATTTAAGCGTATCTATCGCTATGATTAAATTCATGCATACTGAGACACAAAGTATCTACCCTGGCATAGCTTTTAATATATTAGAACGTTGTATATATCAGATATATGCAATGCTTCAATATTTGTTTACACGCTAAGCAGGTATATAAACAAGGAAGTACACCTGTTCAAGTAATTATGCAAATCGCGAAAGTTAGCCTGTAAACAAATAAACGCGAATACATCACGATACGAGTCTCCGCTGTGCAGATTTGCTTGTGTCCTTGGGCAAGGCACTTATTAGCTACATTGCTTCAGTCCACCTAGCTGTATCAATGGGTACCAGCAAACTGCTGGGACTAACCTGCGACGGACTAGTGTGCCGTCCAGGGGGAGTACTCTCATCCGCTTCACACTACAGAAACTGGAGATAAGCTCCAGCCCTATGAGCCCCCAGTGGCTTGGAAAGGATTTAGTAGTAGCAGTACATCATGATACAGCGTAAGCCCAGCACCAATGTATACAAGAAGCAATGAAATATTTACAAGGATAGAATATCCGATCCACAACATGAATACATTATAATAACATTGTTTTTTTTTTTTAATAAAGATTAAATTTAAATTGTTTACATTTTAACCAGTAATCTATTGTTAAGCCAGTAGTTTGTCATAGTAATGTAAAATTGGTCCATAATTTTTTCTCCCACCCCACTGGTAATTCTGCCTATGCCACCATTTTTAACCCATATCATTAATATTTTACCAGAAATTCCTACACAAATCCCACTTACAGTGTGACAATAAAGAATCTGTTTAATTTAATTATTTGGCCAGTAACATGTAATGAACAACCATATATTTCAACATTAATCATGTCATCATCAGGAATTCCTGTATTATACTATCTTATCTGAGACAATATCTGAACAACCATATATTTCAACATTAATCATGTCATCATCAGGAATTCCTGTATTATACTATCTTATCTGAGATTTATCAGTGGACCTTTCGGTAATTTACTTATTTAGTACAAATTTGGCATGATATAGTGCAGAATTAAATGGAGTCCAACACATTTTGTCATCCCCAAGGTCAAGGATTATTAATAAAGTATATTAATGGTAGAAAATAATATACATTTAATTTTTTTTGAAACTATACAAATTGCACAGTAAAGAATGAATGTAACTTATTTTTATTCTACAGTAAGTTAATGAACCAACATGCCGACAAATGACACAAAATGTAGAATATTTGTAATTTACTTTGTAACATTTTTTCAGTAACAACCAATTTAATAACCATCTATGCACACAAATTTCATAATGAATCTTTATTATTTCATTTTTAATATTTGTTTTGTGTCATGTTCATATAATTGTTTATTAATATGATTTGTCCACTTTTGCTCTACTCCCACTTTTTAACAGCCCATGGTTCATATTGGCCTAGAGAGGAAGGTCTCCATTCCTCTTGGTCTCCAAAAAGGCAATGGTATTAAACTCACAGACATTAAAGCTATAGTAAGTGATGGTGGTAGTAGTTTAATTTAATTAATTGTATTATCAGCTGTGAAGGTGGTGGTGTTATTGGATTCAGTTGTTTCTCTCAAGGGTGCTGTAAAAACAGATGAATCTTGTTATATATTCTAAATTCTCCTCATTTTAAGTTGATTTCATTTTGTTAATGATGGTGGTGGTGTTTTATTGGATTTTAATTTCTATCCAGTAAGCTACAACTCCAATATATCTGCTAAATTTATATTCCTTTTTCTTATTTTTTCATTCTCCAAGGATGAGCAACAAGTAGATATCACAAATGCATCTAGCAAATTAGGTTCACCTCAATCTGGAGTTCAACAGGGACAATCATCATCGATGGGTCCTCCTCTGCCGCCTCCTAATGCCAATGTCTTTACAGTCATTGATCCTACTTATAGACCAGCACCAAACAGTAATGTCCGTCTTATCAAGCAGACATCTCTCAGTGATGATGTTCCTAAAGGTATTAGAGTTAATTATACAATTGTTGTCACACCCTATGGCATTATTATTACTCCTTTTAACATTCATGTCACTCACTTTTAATTCAAGACCACACATTTTGACATTATCATTTCTTTTAACATCAATTGATATCTACATTTTGATATTACAGCTGCCATTTACCAAAGTGACAGAATTTTCGGTACACCATGTGTATAAAAATGGTTTTCCTGGTGGCAGTCAGAGCAATCTCTCCGAAACGTAAAGAAAACTAACCCTTGGTTTTACCTCAAAAACCGTATTTTTACACATTCTGTTATTGACACTCACCATACAACCTTCAAGAAATATCAGCCATTTAAAAATCAAATTTCAGCAATGAAAGTCAACATAAGTGCATCATTGACGTATTTTTCCATCTACAGCAGCTCAATTATGGAATATCGTCAGTCATGCCCCTTGTTATGGCTTGCTATTAATGCGATTATTATGTTAATATGAGTTGTAGGAGGGATGTTTTTGCACTACCTGATGTGTTATACTACTGAACTAACCCTAACCCATGACCTCCGGATAACTAGCCTGACGCCATAACCACTAAGCTACAAAGATTGTGCTTAGTGACTAGTGTTGAATCTGATCCCAAAATAGCAGCGGGTACTGCAAATGCTATTTCGATGTCAGTTTGCGTCAGGAAAATATTACAGGAGTGATGTTTTGCCCTACCTGACATGTTATCGTACCGAATACTCAATAAGGTAAATATTTTTTTAACATTTATATTCTTCAGACAAGCCAAAGGCTAAGGCACCATCAAGGACCCAATCAAAGAAAGATAAATCAAAAGAAAAGGAAAAAGCAAGAGAAAAAGGAAAGGAAGAATCAAAGGAAAAAAATGAAGACAGATCAGTGAAGAAGAAACGCTCCAGTTTCTTTGGAAAGAAAAAATGATGACAATGTTTTTAATTTTTATTACACAATTTTTTTTTAAGGAAATAAAAAGTGATTCATTTTTTCTGTTTTTCTTGGTTTATCTAAAACTCTACAGTTGGAATATTTGTTGCAATTTCTTTTTGACAATTCTTTTATATTTTATATTCTATTCAAAATTTCTTATTATATATTCTATTTGACAATTCCTTATTTTTTTATTCTATTTTATATTCTGTTCGGCAATGCCTTAAATGTTGTTAACTGCCTCATATATTTATGATGCTTCATATTTGGGAGCCAAGTTGTTATTATTATTATTATTATTATTATGACAACTTTATTTTTACACGGAAGGCTTGTCTCACCCGGTGGGTGTTATTCTACAAGGCTGTGTTGTCTTTGAGATTGGAAAATAAAAGTAATCACAATAATTAAAGACAAAATTGTATACAAATATGAGATACAAAAAATTGAAGCATAAACCACTCATTTTACAAAAGTGTTTTAAATGTTGTAACATTTGATGAATTTCTAACACATTCATCCAGTGTGTTCCAAAGAATAGCACCACGGTAAAATCAGTGGCGGACCGTAGGGTAAATGGCAGGGTATGCTAGGTGTTGGCATGATGTACAAGGGGCTGTACGTCCTCCCCCTACCCCTGAAAAAAAATATTTGCCCATCCCCACAAATCATGCTCAAGTAATTAAGAATCACCTCGTATCACCTTATTTTGCGAGTTATCCCCTCATAATCACTGATCCCCCACTTTACCTTCCTAACACCATCAGCTCCTTTCCATTTCAAGACCCGCCACTGATGTTAGGGCCTGCTAGTGATTGGAAAAGTTTGTAAGCCTACTACTATACAGAAAGAGATTGCGTTCTATAGTCAAAATACATTAGGCACTTTACGCAACAAGACGGTGGACGGTGGTTTTATGCTCATCAGAGTGCTTAATCGGAACTGCCTGTCTCGATGGTTCTCCGTCCTCTTGCGTAAAGTGCCTAATGTTATTTTTAATACCGGCATGGTTGTCTTTTCTTCAAAAGAATTCTTATTCCTGTATTTTAACAAATTTAAATTTAAATAATAATCCAAAGTTTCTTCTATACCGGTCATATGTACAGTATGTAAATATATTTATTCTTTAATCGATTCAGATTAGCCTTATAGATAGAATACCCGACCAGCAGTGGAGGTCTCGATTTGTGAGAAGAGCATGCGCACATACTCTTGGAAGCACTGCTTCCATTCCAGTGTTAAATTGGCTAATCTGACGCCACCACACGGTTGTCACAATAGCAAATTTAAGCGCGGTAGGGTATACTCTGACTTCTATTGACTCACTGATTAAGTAATTGGCTGATATCGAAGACCAGCCATGCGGAAATTCTAAGTATGATGCGATAGGTCTGACAGTGACTTATCCTAATTACCCAGAAAGTATGCCAAACATGGAAAAACTTAGCTATTCCAATGAATAGCATTCCACCCAAAAAAATTAGCGTATATATAGAAGATCCTGACTGAGAAATGCTAAATAAAACGGAAAAACTGTACTAGTATATTTTTTAATTTGTTTTAGCCAGGGTATGCACTGCATACCTTGCTTGCCTTGACGGTCCACCACTGGGTAAGATAAACTTTTCTTTTTGTATTCAGTGTGAGGACGATCAACTTTTAAGACATATAATCTGGTTAAATAATTTTGTTTCTTAAATGTAATGCGTTTGGTCAAATAAGATGGGGCCATGTTATAAAAAATCTTATACATGGTTTTTGCTTCATTTTTATACAATTTGCTTTCTAAATTTTCCTAATTTAAGGTCTGCAAGGCTTGTGTACTTGAATCATCTTTTTTTCTTTTTTTTTTCAGAATTATTTTTGCCACTCTATTGTGTAAGACTTTTAAAAATTTGAGTAGATCTACCCCACACTAGATTACAGTATTCAAAGTGAGGAGCAATAATGATTGTGTACATTAGAGATTGTTGATCATTTGTTAGAAATTTTTTTTTCAAATAGTGCAAACCCGGCAGAACTTGAGTTTTTACATTATCAGTTTGCTTATTCCATCACAAATTTTCATCGCGAGGTGTTTGCAATAACTAACTAAACAATTTTTTCTATATACAAATTAAAATTATTTTTAGATAGTTTAGAAAGTTTCTGCTTTGTACCAATAATAATACATTCATTGTTTTGTACATTTAATGTAAGTTTGTTGTTAATGTGTTCAAGGTCAACATTTAAGTTATGTGTGTACAACATCATCAATATTAGGAGGTGAATAATAAAGTATTGTATCATCTGCATACATGCTAATTTTTACATTACAAACACTTTTTGGCAAATCATTGACATATAACACAAATAGCAGTCTCCCTAGAATAGAACATTTTGAATAAAAAAAGAAACAAAGCGTATGCAATGTAACTCCTCATTCTTGAAAGGTAAATTCTACATTTTGGAAAATTTGCATGAAATCTGTCAACCACACTGTCATGGTCGAGGTTGCTTCACCAATCACGATGTATTTTAAGAATCATGAGGCTATCCAAATGGGCATTTGTCATAACAGAACGCAAATTATTTTTAATTAGTCTCATTAAACTATTATTATTATTATTATTATTATTATTAATATTATTATTATTATTATTATTCTTCCAATATTGTACAGACCACCAGCAATGGTGTATTACGTACATTGATTACGTACATTGTTTGTTATTATTATTAATAATTATAACACAAATAGTTTAATGAAAAAATTGTCGTGGCTAAACAAACATTACATGTAAATATTTTTTTTATTTGTTTATTCCCCGAAAAAATGTACTCGTCTTCCCCGACGGGGTGGCTATGCTTCCCCTGCCCCCCTCTGGTGCCACCAGTGCCCACCAGGTACCCATTTATACTCCTGGGTGAAGAGAGCAATGCAGATAGGACACAAGTAAAATGAACAGCAAGGGATTGAAACCTCAACCTCGAGGTTGGGAAACCAAACCGTTCACGCTGTGCCAAACCGCTTCATTTAGCTAATTGTGTAACATTTACATGCGTGGTATGGGAATGATCACTTTAAACCATATTATGTTGTTATCCAGCTTAAAGATTTTATGTTTTTCATTGAGAATCTTATGGTCAACTGTATCAAATGTGTTTTTAAGGTCTAGTGTAACTAGACTTGTAAAATTACCATTGTCTATAGCATTTATCCAGTCTTCAGTAATGTTTAATAATGAAGATATAGATCATATTGTTTTTTTAAATGAATTGGTATACCTGATCAAACACTACCCTTTCTAATATTTTTGATAAAGTGAGTAATATTGAAATTGGCTTATAGTTACTAGGTTGAGATCTATCACCACTCTTGAAGATGGGGCAAACTTTTGCATTTTTCCACTTGTATGAGAATTGACCTGAAGATAAATTCACAATGTATGTAAGTGGAACAACAATTAAATTTATTGCAGCTTTGGCTAATTTAGAAGGTAATTTAACATTTCCAGTTGCCTTTTTTAGGAGTTTGAGATTCTTATTTACAGACCATGTTCCCGGCTTTATAGAATATGTTGACTTGGACAAATATGCAAGAGTAACTGTCGTACAATAGACTTTATTAACAAAATATTTTAATCTTTTTAAAATTTATTATGTGGTGAAATTTATTTAAGTTTCAAAATAGCTTGAGAATATTGTTGACCCAAGAACTTGATTCCATATACAGTTAGACTTGCTGAACTAAAATAATGCCAAATTGTTGTATTTTCCATTAATTAACAATTTGTAAGTCAAATTTTCAATTCAAGTGACCTTTTGATGTACATTCTAGTGTTTTAATATACTGTATTTATATATTATAAACTATTCATTGGTATGATTTTGATATGATAGTACTTTGACCAGTTATTATTCTTTAATATTTGTTGGTGGCAGTACACTCAGTGGTCACAATACAGGTCATGCAATGTAATGAGACTGGAATTGCTTAAAATATTTATGCAAATAAAAAATCTACTGTTCAGTTGTCATCATAGTTAAAATTTTCTTAAATTTTAAAAAAGAGACTTAAGCAAATGTAACAATATATTAGCTGAGTGTGACGTAGAGGGGTATGTGGTTACTTCAAAAGACATTGGGTTTTTATTGATGTCAATAAAAGTGTACACATTTAAAAAAATTCTATTTCATATTATGTAAATTTATTATTGATTTAATGTGTGACCACATTTTAGGCATGCATTCCTTTATATTTTTATACCCAAGTTATAAATATTATATACAGTAAGCAGAATTCTTTGTTTTATTAAATATTTCTGTAGATATATTTTGACAGCTTTGAAAACAAATAGTACTGTAATTGTATTTATGGAAATTGTAAAATATTATTTTTATTATATGGGCACACTAACACCTCTCTACAGTATTTTGATAATACAGTTGAACCTTCTTTTAGTGCCCACTTTCCCAAAATACCGTTTTTCCCCATTCAACCACAGTCATTTGTAGTGGCAGACCGTAGGGTAAATTGCAGGCTATGATAGGGCTCCATTGATGAAAAAAATTTTTATGTATTTACAATCAAAGACTATTCTATCTAGTCAAAATACAAATATATTTGTTTTTTTACAAGGATGTTTGTATTTCCTTTTCAAGAGACCTATTAAAAGCCTATACATAAGTAATACAAGTTTCCTCTGTATTTGACATCTGTGTGAATGTTTATTTAACTTCGAAAATAATGACAGAGGATCGGCCCGATTTAGGTTTCTGATACCTTCTTGGTAATACTGTTAGAGAAATAATGAGAAGTGGAGCATGCGCACATACACACCATTGTTTAACTTTCAATACGCCATTGTTTAGATTGCCAACATTCCTTTTTTTGGACTTCCGACAATCCTTTGTTTAAATAAACTTATTCCTTTGGAAACACCTGTAACCAACCTGTCGTAATGTAGTCTTGACTGACTGGTATTTTGTGTAAAAAAAAAACTTCAAAAAGTGTCCATAGCACATTTGATCTAAGCCGTCAGATATTCTCCGCAGTGGCGTAAGTACCGGGGGACAAGGGGAAATATCCATCTATGGAAAATCTTTCCCCATTGAATGCCCTTTTCACCCGGGAAAGTGCCTGAAAACCTCAAATTTTAAATCGTGTATTTTGTTGAGGTAGGCCAATTTCCTCTAAAAATTGCACATTTTAGGGAGTTTTGATCAATTCCGACGAAATTAGAATTAAAAAGACAAATTTTTTCGCGCGCTCATAAGAGCATTTCTTGTTGAGGTAGGCCAATTTCCTCTAAAAAATTTTCGCGCGCTTCGCGCATTTTTAGATCTTCAAGGTTGTGCTTGCTCTCTTTAGCCTTCGAAGTTATAACACATATTCCCAAACTCAAGAAAGAAAATTTAAGATAGATCGTTTTACCTAAAAGAAGGGCCTCAATGTGTAATGATGTGTGAAGCATATGATTGTAATAAATAAAACCACGACGAAAATGCTTATATTTAGTTTCAAACACACGTGTGTGGCCTATATTAATAATAAAATAAGCCCTATGTCGTATTGTTTTTTATTTTGGTGGGGGGGGGGGGTGGTGGTGTATCACACCAAGTCATAAATTACTAACCGGGAAAATAGGACCTGTGCCAAGCTCTAGTACTTTCCTCATGAGTGCCGTCTGTTCATTGTGATACAGTACTCAGGGGCGTACGGTGAAAAATCTAACGGGGGGGAACGGGGGGGGGGGTCGAAACTAAAGCGCAGGGGGAAAGCTGAACTCGGAGCAATTTAGCGAAGCTTTCAGAATTCGTGGGGTGCGTTATTTGTGAGTGAAGCGAGCATATTTAAAAGGCACTTTATTTAAAAGTGGGGGATCGACCGCACCCATCGACCCCCCCACAGTATGCCCCTGGTACTTCATTGTTAGATAGGCCTATCTAGCCCAATTTATGTTGATATTGTAATTTTATTTTAATTTTTATATTAAGTTTTTTATTTAATTTTGAATTAATTCTTTATGTAAATTTTGTATTGAGAGGTTGTTATTTATTTTACTGTAATTTAATTAGTTTAATACGCTCTTTTGTTTTGTCTTACTATGTGTATTGAGGGTCCCTAATGATCAGCTTCGGCTCTGGATGGACCACCCTCATTAAAGATTGTTGAAATAAATTAAAAAAAATACTTTATCTGAAATAATAATGACAATGTATCTATGTATGATGTGTAGAATGTTGGAGATGACCTGCCTGCTGCAGTGATATTCTGATTTTAAAACATTGTCCTGTACATTACAGTACATAATTAAAAAGCGAAATCAAAAACAAGAATTTCCCCTAGGGTGCTCTTATCTCGATCCCTCACTCCGACCTTTCCAACATCTCTTGATCCGTGTCCCTATAAAATTCTTAATTTTCCTATTATGAACAAGTACGCATACAATAATTACAAGAAAGCGTGACACAGTTTCAATCCAATTTTGTTATTAATATACAAAACACTAGTATATTTCGGTTTAAGCACCAAGGTTTTTAACAACTGAAAATTTTGAAAGGAAACTCTCTTAAAAAATAACTTTCTTTTTCTCTTCTAACTAAATGATTCGATGTGCAACAACTGTACCACGAAATATGGGCTGTACTAACTTAGCTCTGATTATTAACATGGTGAGAACCATGAATGCTCCAGGCGTAATCGATTGAATAGAATTTTAATTCGGGGTTGAAGTTTCTTTTAGGTGCACGTTTTTTGGCAGAATTGATGCTACGTGAAGATCGTTTATATAAATTTATGTGATTTTCTTTCTCTCAATTTGATACAGCTTCTGACAATTTTTCATAGCTTGTGAAAGTGCCACTGACACAAAGTGTCTTCATCTGCCATCTACAGAAAAAAAAAATATTTGCACATGCTCAATAGGACGTTTTCGTACTCACGAAGCAAGCGGCGCCCTTCAAATAGATCGACGTAAGCATAGCCTATGATTAATGCTTACGACTCGGTGTAAGCATAGACACTTCGATACTTATTACTACTAAAGGCCTTACTCACCTAGCTAGAGGAGTGCTCTTCTAAACTATCCTAGGCCAATTAACAATAACAATATTAACTCAATTCAATCTTTATTTATTTGATCATAAAAAATACAATAAGGTAGATAAAATACATGTTAAAACAACATGATGAAATTTTGGTGCTTATTTGAACCTCATAGAGGCTATAGGCCTAGTTATTGAAAATTAACATTTCTTTTCAAATACATAAAAATAGAAAAAAAGGTTAACAAACAAGACAATGTGGCAAAATCTCACAGAAATGTATGTAATTAATAATATAAGATGAGGAATTTAATTGTGTACACGAGGAAAATGCGCAGAGGGGAGGGCGAAGGGGGGGGGGGCCGGTGTTGTGAGGGGGGGGGGAAGGTAGGATAGAGTGAAATTATTTTTAAACGTATTTTATTTATGGTTCGGTAACTAGCATGTCATATTTTTAAATCTCTTCATCCTCTTAAACATCATCATCCACACCATCATCATCATCATAATCATCACCATTATCGATTGATAATTAGAATAGGCCTATCATAATAATTATCGTTATTGACTAATAATAAAATAGACAAAGCATTATAATTTCAAATTCAAAGTTTATTGATAATAACTTGGTAATTAACAATAACATGTAGAAAAATATATAAAAATGGTGTGCTAATTTTAAATATAAGATTAATAAATTTATATTTATTAAGTTATAAATTAATATAAATTGCAACTATTATCTTTACAATGATAATAATACAATACAACATAGGTTATACAAACATTTGAAAAGTTTTATTTACAATGCTCCGACTTTTACATTTAAAAAAAATAGTTATTTACACTTTTTCTTTCATAATTGCATTACTCAATGTCCCTTCCTCGAAGTGGAGCACGATCTCGGTGGCGAAAATTGTGTCTGTCCATATTTGGTTTACCACTTGGTTGCATGAAAGAGTAATAATAATGATGATAATAACAATAACAGTGATAATAATAATAATAATAATAATAACAATAATAATAATAATAACAATAATAATAACAATAATAATAATAATAATAATAATAATAATAATAATAAAAACAATAAACACAATACAAAACATACAATGTTGATAAAACAAAAAATAATACTACTAAATAATAATAATCTAAATTTAATACTTAATAGGTATGAAACATAATAAAATACAATATTGTACTTACTCTTCCAAAAGACTTCTAAAAAGGTCTTGCGCTCTAACTTGCATCATTTCGGCAAAAATATTGCATTAATCACAGAATTATATATAAACGCCGTAAAAAATAAAGCAGATAATGCACTTTCTCTAAGTATTCTTTGAAATAAAGCAGTTACTAACTAGGCATTATTTGCTAAGGATTCCAAGCTAATTAATTAGATATTTGTTACACTAGATCTGATTGGTTACTTACTATCTGTCTAGCGTGAAGTCAAGCGTTTAATGCATGTATGTAAGGCTCCGCGCACATAATGCCTTTTCTCAGAGTATTTATAGTAAAATTTGCAGATAATGCCCAATTTTAAAATAAAATTTCATATTTCCAGACATATTTTTATATTATAAAATAATACTACTAAATAATAATAATCTAAATTTAATACTTAATAGGTATGAAACATAATAAAATACAATATTGTACTTACTCTTCCAAAAGACTTCTAAAAAGGTCTTGCGCTCTAACTTGCATCATTTCGGCAAAAATATTGCATTAATCACAGAATTATATATAAACGCCGTAAAAAATAAAGCAGATAATGCACTTTCTCAAAGTATTCTTTGAAATAAAGCAGTTACTAACTAGGCATTATTTGCTAAGGATTCCAAGCTAATTAATTAGATATTCGTTACACTAGATCTGATTGGTTACTTACTATCTGTCTTGCGTGAAGTCAAGCG